TAAATGAAAAAGAAATGAGTCGCTCATGAAAGGTGCGGTTACCACAGTGGACCCCCCACTGTAACCTAGCAGCTCTTGTTTTTCAAACGCACTCGATGTCACTGCTGGGGGCGGTCATGCAGGCTGGATTTAAGCTCTTATCCAAGCCCCGAGCTGATGAATTCGGCTCTCCATGGCCGGAACGGGCCGATGCAGCTAAATCAGCGCAAAGGCCAAAAATTCGGCTTGGTCGATCAGGCCGGTGGCCACCATGATGCCGGTGCTCGTCGGAGGCACTGGTCACACCAGGGACGCTCCCAGGCCAGGGCCTCATAGATGTCCGTGGACATGTACGGGTTCACCAGGCGCTTCGCCTTCCCGTCAGCCTGTTTGTGCTGGCACAAGGTGATGCCATCCTCGACCGTGACATGTGTGCTGGAACGCTCTGTGGCTGCATACCCTTGGGGTTCAGGATGCTGTGTTCCCACGGCTGTGTCCTGGAAGGTCTTATGCAGCCACTTCTTCATGCCTTGGTCCTTGATCACCTTGTTCAGCTCTGTGTCTCGGCGACTCTCCACGAAGTTGTTGGCCGCCTCAATGGACTCACCTTCCAGCAAGGCTCGGCAGAGGATACCTAGATAGGCACCACGGTGTCGCCCTTTGATGCAGTGCACTAGGACATTGTCTCCGTGCCATACCGTGTTCTTCACAGCTGGCCACACATCTGTCCATTGCTCATTGCGCTCCTGGCTGTAAGCCGCCGCAAAGGTCATCAGCTGAGCCCCCGGGAGGGTCACCCCCCCCCGGCTCTCAGGACCATGCGGGAAGCAGCAAATCTGCAGCGCAGTCTTGGGGAACTTATCCATGGTCTGCTGCATTGGAAGTCCCGCCAAGTAGAGGCCACCTCCCTTCCGAGACTGCCAAATGCATGTTGGAGCCTGAGCTGTCCCTGAGCCAACACCCAACCTTTCGAGGTGCAGGTCCAAGGTGTCACCTGCCGCCTTCCCACGGCCTTTCTTGGGCATGGCCTTGATCTGTGGCTTTCCAGGGGTTGCCATGCGCTTGGGAGTTGTGGCTGTCGCCATTGGCTTGGGGGTGGTAGCCATAGCCTTTGGAGGCGTCTTCGGGGCTGCAATTGCTGGCGCCTTAGGCGGTGTCTTCGGTGCAGCTTTGCCTCGGGCTCTCTTGACGGCTGAGCGCATAGCCTCTGCCACCTCATCATCGGTTGCTCCACTTGCCACGGTCCTCTTTCTGCCGAACTGAGCCTTCGCTCCAACGGCTGCCGGCACCAAGGATGCCGAAGGCTTGGGGGCTGCCGGGACTGCGGTCTCAGCCAGCACTGCGCGCTTGATGCGACACACACCAGCGCCGTGTTTGCCACCGCATGCCCGTCCCGATTTTTGTAAGACGGCACATAAGTGCACTCCGAAGGGACAGGAGTCTGCTTCGTTCGGGCACGAATCCGTCTGGTAGTCTGGGCAGATGGCCTTGCCGTTCTTCAGGGTGGCTGTCAAAACTTTTCCTTGAAGGTGGTCCGGCATTTGGGGGGCCGGTGCCGCTTCTGCCTCCTGGCGGGCTTGTTGCGCGGCTTCAACAAATTGTTGTGACAGCTTTAGCCTCTTCTTCACATCTTGAAAATTGTGTGAGGAGGCCCACATTGGTTGCCTGTCCTGCCTCAGCAACCGGTCGGCCTCTGCTAAGCCGTGGGCCCGGGCTGCATCTAGCTCTGACTGCGGGATCGCCTCCCACAGCAGGTTGCCAGTCAGCTTTGCTGTCGCACCCCAGATCAGGGATTTCACCTTGATCGACGCGGCGTATTTGGCCGACGAATAGTGAAAAGCCATCGCGCCCACTTCTGGCACCTCGCCCTTGGCTTGCCAGTCGCCCAGGGCGGCCATTTCTTCAGGCTTGCATTCCAACAATTGGGCCACAGTGGGTGCCAACCTTCTCCAACTGTAGGTGGTCAGGTCTTCAGGATTGTCGAGGAACACGGACATTTCCTGTTGCATCGTTTCTTGAACTTCAAGGATCGTCCAAGGGCGTCCTTCGTCCGAAAAACAAAGACCTGCCAGCCTCTGCCTTGCCGGTGCCAGTGTCCTGTAGGCCTCCAACACCTCCTTGGCCCAAAAGAACCCATTGGCAAAGGTTGCCGGCACTGCAAAGTCGAATCCCTCACGAGCATGCCTTTGTTTGCCTTTGGGGCACCTGCAATGGAGGAACGCAGCGGTGAGGCGTCGGGGTTCTGATCGAGATATGTGCGCATACCTCAAACAGCCAAACGCCATGACCCAAGGAGCCAGGAGGACTGACCACCTCTCATCGCCTACCGCATGCAGTTCCATGATGCGGTCCTCCAAGGCCTGCACCAAAGGTGGCTCGACCACAGGAGCCTGCCCACGCTGCCCAGTCGCCCTGGGTGTTGTGGGAACTTGCAAATTGCCCAGCTCAAGATCTTGGTCGGCATTCTTGTTCATCCACTTCAAAGCCTGGAGCGCCCGTGCTGGTGCCGCTGTGTGGTTCAGGAACTGGTCAAGGTCGACCATTCCGGGAGGAGCGGGTCGCCCCCGGCTCTCCAAGAAGGTCCTCAGCTCCAACCAAGTGTTGACCACTCTGTCAATGGTGGCCTTCTCAGCGTCCTTCACCTTCTTTTCGGCGATCCTCCTGCACGTCTGCTTCCATTCAGCTTTGAGGGTGTCGGTCAAGATACCGGCTGGCTTGTAAGCGCCCATGCCAACAAACATTGAAACCACGCCGTTCACCCTCTTCTGGACGGCTTCACTCAGGTTTTTGTCGACATTGATGGCTCTGGGCTTCTTCTTGTAGATCGTCTTGCGCACTGGGTGCAGAGTGACGGAACCCTTGGGGTGGTCCTCCACGACTTTGGCTCCGGCGGCAAGGAGGGTTTCTTCGACCCTTGCTCGCGTCTGCAACCAGTCATCAGCGACATGATGGCCAGCGAGTCCAACGACTTGATCGTAGTCTGTGTAGGCATAGGCAAAGTCATTGTCATCTAGAAGGCCTTCATTCTCCCTCCATTGACGAGCCCTCTGAGCAGCGATCATCATCAAAGAGTCGGCCGCCCTCCATCCTGGTGCAGGGTCACCCCCTGACGAAGATGAGGCTGCCGCCTGAGCTGCGTAGTAGCCTTTTCCGCCTGATGCCATGGCACTGCACCCTAACAAAATTGCTAAGGTGCGGAGAGCAAAAAGATGCTGCGGTGACTCCAGAGGTGCCTCCTCTGTCATAGCATCAACCTTCAGCGAACATCTTCTTACGGCCTCCACAAACTGTGCATGGCTGCCTCCATGTATAGCAGTCACTACACATGCCAACGCAGCAGGCCCAACACACGCACCAGGTAGGGTCGCCACACACCGTGCATGCAGTCCCCAGATGCTGGACTCTGGCCTCTTGGCTTTCCAGCCATCCACAAAGAGCTCGATGAGCCCTGGCGCCCTCTCTCCCCCATGCCGGCCAGGGTCGCCCCCTGGGGGCCCTGGGGAAGTGACGCGGCTCGAGGAAGATCGGCAGGAGCTCGTGCGGGCCCACACATCGCAGCCAGATCCTCCATTGCTCGAAAAGCTCGCCCAGGCCCAGTTGCCCAGCGTCACCCGCTGAACATCTGAGCTGGAGTCCATAGAGCTCTTGGGGCACCACGTCCTCGGCCACCTTGAAATTCGTGTATGCCGAGACCAGCAGGAGATCCATGGGTTCTTGGTGCTGGTAGTAGTACGCCCAAGCATCCGCAGGCGCCACATCATCAGGCAGCACAACTCCCCGGCTATTCCACAAGCCAAGCCACGGGAACTTGAACCCACCCACATGAGCTGCGCAACGTGGACATCCATCAAGGCAGCAGGGCAGTTTCGGCAAGGGGGGAAACAACTCTGAGTCCGTCCCAGTAGTGATGACGTAGGGAGAGTGCAACACTTCGATACCATGCATCCAGCATGTGTATGCTGCCGGGCCCAAGCCCTCCCTTGCCAGCCTCTCCACGTGGTTCTTGAATTCCTAAAACGCAGCCGCATGCAGGATCTTCGCCTCAGTGGCTGCTGGAATATCAATGCCTGGGAGTTTGCGCTGCATACAAGGTCACCCCTTGTGTTGAGTTTGAACCAACCAATCAAGGTCAAGTAAGGTCGCCCCTTACAACGACCGAGAAAGAAACAGCAATGAATGCTATTTTGGTTCAAGTTTACTTGAGCCAAAATGATAGCATTCATTGAACACTTAAAGATGATACATGCACACCCAAGCCTGCCAAACTCGATGCATGGGTATATACATATATACATATATACATATATACATATATACATATATACATATATACATATATACATATATATATATATATGTAGTATACAATACGTAAATTATACAGCATGTATAGGTTCTTCACAGACTGCAAACATGCAAAGCCTGAACAAACACAGTTGAACCTCCAAATGGAGACCTTTGATTCTTGGTGTAGCATCCAAAAATATCAAATCGATATCAGTTCATGCACAATCATCAAAACTATACATATTATATCTATATGAAACTATTATACCCGTATGATATAAATACTATATATACCGCAAATAAACACAAGTATCTTATCAAACTGGAATACATCTATGTATTTGTAAATATGCATGGTATATAAAAATGCTGTGCCTATAAATAATTACACGCATGATTGGGATATTACTGGAATTAAAATAATCCCTGAACCCTTAACCCAAAGCTGCAAATATTTGTATACTTTCAATATTTTACTATATGTGCCGCAAATACCTCAAACAAAAAAGCAATTCTATATCATGATGAAATGAAGGTTAAGTTGAAAAATCTAAAAATACATACTCTATATATATATATATATGAACACTAAATTATATTACATTATATTATATTGTATTGTATTATATTTTGTTTTATTTGATCATATTATACATATACATATATATAGTTATGCCAATATTTATGTTTATATATAAAATATTGTTTACAGACCCTGAATCTCAATTCCAAGCCTCTTGGTTCGCCACGCACAGGCGCAACAGCGGCATTTTCCCCGTTGCTGCGGCCACGTGGATCATCCGCTCCGCCGCGTCGCGGTCCAAGGCGCCATCCAAGGCGGAACGAAGGACGATGGCGTCTTGCGAAGACAGGGGACCTGCGAAATCAGGGGAGATGTATAATATAGATGTATTTATAATAATTATATGATATATAGAAAAATATAGTGTATATTTATGTAAAAAACAAAAAAGAAAATCGTGTGTATATATATAAATTTATGTAAAAATAAGTGTGTATATTGTATTAGTGAAAAATAAATCGTATATATATATATATACATTTGTATGTAATATACAGAATATTTATATTGTGATGTATTTTGTGTATTAAGTGTATTAGGTGTAATGTACAATATGTATGTAAAAAAGAGAAACTGTATATGTTAGTATGTAATATATATACATATAACATATGTGAGTATAATATATCATATATAACTAATAGTAATGATATATTAGTAAAATATGTAAGTATATGTAATAAATACAGTAAATTATGTTAAATCTAGAAGCATATTAATACCGCCTTGTGCTAGTATGTAATATATAATATGTGAGTATTATGTGTATATATATTCTAGTATGTAATATCCAAAAAATATGCGTTGCGTGTATTATATCAGTATGTAATAGATAATACATTTAAGTATTATGAGTCATGTCTAAATATAGAATCATTTACATTGGATATATTGGAGAGACTGGATATACTAGAAATAATAGATGTATTTGGTATGATGCCAAAAAAACATTTGTAGATATTGATTAACTAATACTTAGCAATATATTGGGTCAACGTAAAAAATATGCTTGAACAGTATGTTAATGACCGTAGTATGTATATATTGTATATGTTCTGTTGAACAAATACAGTAATAAAACTGTATAAGATCAGAGACAACGAATATTATATATATATATGTAGTAGACATATATTAGACAAGATGATATGGTGATGAAATGGTGGTGAGATGGCGATGATATGGTGATGATATAGTGATGATAAGGTAATGGTATGATGATAATATGGTAATGATATGGTGATGATATAGTGATATCTAGGATGATATGGTGTGTAAAGAATATAACACGAATATGCTTTGAATATGGGACTTGATATAAGATGGGATTACATATAGATCACATGTATCTTATGTTTACATCATGCATCTATCTGTTCAAAATATATTAGATATAAGAGATACCGGCAATATTTGTAGTAACATTAGCACAAGATTTTGCTGATAGATGTACGATATGTATATATGATATATATATATACATATATGTGTAGAGTGACCCTCAGAAAATATATAAAGAAAGTCATATCTGACTTTTTGTAGCAGGATTTTTTCCATTTTGTTCAGGGGGTTAAACATACACACATGGTTTACCCCGTTCAACAAAATATTAGGTTGCAGTAGCAAATTGAAAAACAAAACATGTCCTGCTATGAATGAAGCATATGCATATACATATTATATATATATAGTGATCTCATGTATTTGAATTTCATATTGGCTGCGGGATGTGAACAACTACATAGGCGATTTGGTGTAAGGTAAGTGTAGCATATGGGATATCAAATCTATATCATATGTACAGATTCACATACATAAACCATAATTACACGGGATGTCCTACCTATAGCCATGGATATTTATGTAATGCCAACACCGGATTAATAACCCCCCCCCCAGAAGGTAGGGGGGGTACCTTCTGGTTAGTTTTCTTGACCACCCCTTAATAAGAAGCAACTCTGAACCATAAAACTTTGGTTTTGGCTTACGTCAATTAGATCTTAATAGAATTCTATTGGATTTGTTAAAATCTCATGGATCAGAAAGGTGGTTTATTAATCAGGGGCAAACCCTGGTTATTATTAATGGGGACATGGGCTGATGGGGGTACCCTTTGGGAGCTATCCAAACTGATGATTCTTATAAAGATTTTAATTAAAAACCGATCATTTCGGGAATAGTTTTGTTTTGAAATTTTCAATAATCAACTTAAACCTTAAGTATAACAATGATGATTTAAAAAAAGCAAAAACAAGATGAAGCCCACGAACCCGAATGCTCACACGTAGTATGTGGAAGGTAACGAAATTAAAGTATCTATTACGCAGATATGATTGAAGTGTTAATGCTCACACCTATTGTAGAACAGTGGAACAGCGTCATTGCTCCGATTCTGTTTTTCTCTGAGTCTCCGCGACAGCATCACTAGCGTCGCAACGCAGCGGCGCGCGGCAATCATCGCCTTCCAAGACATGCAAGCCAGGCGATGCGAAGATATCACACAGGAAAACGAGAGACTCGCGACAAGACACGTGGATGCAGAAAAACCAGCATTTCCTACGAGACTTCCTCCAATTTTGAAATTTTGTGAACATCATCAAACAGGTTGGAATGTCAGAAAGTGCCACGCCTGCCACGCAAAACAACATGACAACCTGCTTGGAAACATTCGAAAAGGAGAGGTTTTGCAGCTTCCCCCATAGACACGGCGAAGCCACAGGAAAACCAGAGACTCGAGACAAGACACGTAGGAACATCAAAACCAGCATTTCGTGCGAGACTTCCTGCAATTTTCACAGTTTGAAACATGCCGAAAGGACAAGTTTTGCAGCTTCCCCCATAGACACGGCGACGCCACCAGAAAACCAAAGACTCGAGACGAGACGCGTAGGAGCATCAAAACGAGCATTTCCTGCCAGACTTCTTCCAATTTTCACACTTTGTAGTATAGCTTCAAAATCGACGTTTTCCTACGAATTTTCCTAGGAACCTCTAAATTTTGCCACCTCAAAATCGATGTCGATGTTTCGTGCGAAGCTTCCGTCAATTTTCAGCACATGTCACAAAATGTCACGCCTGCCACGGAATTTGCACCTTGTCGCCATTTAACGCAGCCCTGCCAATGCGATTTGCAAAAAACACGCAACGCGACACGTCTAAAGTGCTGCGCCTGCCACGAAAAATGACGATGGACACGTCCAAAGTGCTGCGCTTGCCACGAAAACCCCAACACATCTTCTGAAAACGTCGCAAAAGTATTGCGCCTGCCACGCAAAACGACTTTCGGCACGTTGCAGAACACGTCTGAATGTCACGAAGTGCCACGCCTGCCACGCGAAACGAAGCAACGACACATTGGAAACTTCCAAGAATGACCACCTCTGCGGAACTTCCCATAGGCACGGCCATACGGAGTTCGTACGAACGGTTGCGGACGGTTGGGGACGGTTGCGGACGGTTGCGGACGGCTGCGGACGGTTGTGGACGGTTGCGACCACAAACGCAACGTCGAGCGAACACACCCTCAACCCCCAGACCCCCAGAGTGAAACGGGAACCCTTGCTACGCATTCGGGAAAAAGGGTGATTTTCCATGGCTATGTTAAATAACCAGATGGTAAACCTTTAAACCCAAGTGAACTTGGAGTTATGTTCACCAACTTAGCCAAATTCATCGCTCACTGGAACACCACCTTTTAGGATTTCAGTGGATGTTCATTCTACCATCTCAGAATTCCCAACAGTGTCCCCATAATATGTCCCATGGTATCACATCAATTCCAAGATTATCCCATGAATTCCCATATTATCACACATCTAATTTTCACTAATTTTCATATGTGTTCACTAATCTTCATTGATGCTCATTAATTATTAATTGTCATTAACTTTCATTAATTTTCCAGATTGTTTTGTTCAATTTTGTTCCATCCAATTCCATATTCTCCCCAGCAGTTCGCATTCTATCCAAAATTCACTGACTGAAGGCGGAAAAAAAAGGTTCGCGTCGTCTCCAACAGCCGGGGATCGTCTGCATCAATTGACAAACGCAAACCTCTTTTGCTTCGATATCGGTTGAGGGACGTGTCAAACAAACTAAACGCAACCAGCAGAACTGACAAGGACATACAAATCGCCACTAGCAGCACCAAAGCTTTGAAGACTCGATGGCAAGATCACCCCCTCCAGGCTTTGGCCGAAGTCAGCGCGGCCAAAACTCAAGTTTTCAAGACTCGATGGCAAGGTCACCCGCTGAAGGCTTTGGTTGAAGTACCCGCCAAAACTCAAGCTTTGAAGACTTGATGGCAAGGTCACCCGCTCCAGGCTTTGGTTGAAGTACCCGCCAAAACTCAAGCTTTGAAGACTTGATGGCAAGGTCACCCGCTCCAGGCTTTGGTTGAAACGAAAGCCAAAACTCAAGTCTTGAAGACTCGATGGCAAGGTCACCCGCTCCAGGCTTTGGTTGAAATGAAAGCCAAAACTCAAGCTTTGAAGACTCGATGGCAAGGTCACCCGCTCCAGGCTTTGGTTGAAATGGAAGCCAAAACTCAAGCTTTGAAGGCTCGATGGCAAGGTCACCCGCTCCAGGCTTTGGTTGAACTCAGCGCCAAAACTCAAGCTTTGAAGACTCGATGGCAAGGTCACCCGCTCCAGGCTTTGGTTGAAATGAAAGCCAAAACTCAAGTCTTGAAGACTCGATGGCAAGGTCACCCGCTCCAGGCTTTGGTTGAAATGAAAGCCAAAACTCAAGTCTTGAAGACTCGATGGCAAGGTCACCCGCTCCAGGCTTTGGTCGAAATTCCTGCCAAAACTCAAGCTTTGAAGACTCGATGGCAAGGTCACCCGCTCCAGGCTTTGGTTGAACTCAGCGCCAAAACTCAAGCTTTGAAGACTCGATGGCAAGGTCACCCGCTCCAGGCTTTGGTTGAAGTACTCGCCAAAACTCAAGCTTTTAAGACTCGATGGCAAGGTCACCCGCTCCAGGCTTTGGTTGAAAGTCTCGCCAAAAGTCAAGCCTGCAAGGCTGCAGGGGAGATGTTGTAAGTACTCTCCGTTTGTTGCTCCTTCAAGGTGTGTAACGCCTTCAAGGGCAAACTCTCTCTCACAAGCTGGGAGTTCACAGGAATAACGCCATGCTGTATACACATCAGTTGGTATGTAAGTGCAGGACAGCATTGCGGTTTTTCCAACAATCCCTTGGTCTTCCAAGTTTTCACCCAGTGTCAGTTTTTTATTCACGCTATGCACGACAAGCTTTGCGCCGGCCTTGCATGAAAGATTTTTTGACACCAACCT